GAGAATAATTCCTACTTCTTTCCCTTTCTATTCAAAGTAACTAAACATGTCAAAAACCACTACTCTTCTTTTGCTCTTAGTTTCAGTTACTTTTTAAATTATTATTGTAGTGTTTTTTATTCCATTTTTTTTATAACTATTATTGTGTAGTTAGTAGGGGTTAATTTGTTTATGTTTAAAGAATTTATTTATTTATGACTTTAGTGTTGGCTTTACAGTAGTAATAAAAAGTTGATGGATAGTGTCGCTTAATCCTGCATTGTACATTCCAAATAGTAAGGACCAAAAGCAAGGGTAAAATTTGCTGAAGAAATCCAAAGGACCTACAAGCTTTTTAATCAAACCTATTCAATTTCAAACCAATAATTGTACCACCTCTGTCGTAAGCATCCCACTTAATCCAAAGAGAACCCACTTCAAACCAAATCCACAATCAAACAAAACTAAAATTTCATCTACAATCATGTTCACATAATTCTGCCCTTCTATTCATCACATCTCATGCCTTTCGAATATTTTTCCTATGTCGACGTATCTCAATTTTACGAGAAAAAAACTTCCCTGTCACCGGTTGTATACAACTAGAGATATTACGCATATCATTTTCTCATTCTTCACCAGCTATGGTCCTACATTGAGGAGTGGTGGTAATAATACATTGATATTAAAAGGAAGAGAATGTTGGACCAAGCACTACTTGAAGCACATCCGACAGAGGAAACCTTATCTTTTTATCCTCTTGGTGGGATCAGAAGCTTTAACATCAACTTATATATCCCACAAAAATCAATCACACAATAGGCCATTGGCTAGGGAGATGAAGTAGAAGTCTATGTATAGGCATGAGAGGTAGAGAGAGATGAGATGAAGATACTCCAAATTATGAGTGCATTATATCAACACGGAAAATACACGGATGGTGTCTTTAGCTCAAGTGGTAAAAGAGAATTCAGAGTTACGAATTAGAATTGGGATATGTTAAAGGTTCGATACCCTTCGATATAACCATAAAATATAAAGATACGATCTCAATCTATTCAATCATCCATCTACGAAAAACGTGGCAGTCCCCAGTTAGTCCATGTGGAGCCCACGTGGCACTTATCCGTGTATTGTATCAAAGCGTACAGGAATATCTGAGGAAACCACAAGGGAAGTTCCAAATCTTTGATGGGAAAAGGGAAATAAATGTTGTTTGCATGAAAATAGAAAGGGTGTGTGTTTTATATTGGTGATGGTGTCACATGGGCGGGCGCTACCTGCAGTGCCGTCTTTTGTAGAACTACCAATATAAATTTGGCTTCAGATAGTGTGTGATCTTCATCACGTGCTCTGCTTTTCTAGTTTCTTCCTCCGCAAAATCTTATCTGCTTTGCTTTGTTTCATCAACTGGGTTTTTCTTTTGAACTGCTTTTTTGGAGAGTACTTTTGTTTGGAGTGGCCTTTTGAGTTGACTCAGAGAAAGAAGGGAAGTAAAATGGACAGTGCTAAGAAGCAGGGCAGCGCAGCTTCCTCATTGACTGCTGATCTCTTTGGTGTCAAGGAGCCACCACCCAAGTCGTCTACTGGGATTTTTGCATCTATTTTTCCACCTCCATCTCAGGTATATCTGATTCTACTGAATTCATATTTATGCTGTCTGCTTGTTCTGCATAGCATAAGTGGCTTCTGCCAGGAAGCTGCTTTTAAAAGCAGAGAAATTGGGTGAAGATGAATTTGGCTTTTACTTGGGTTTCTTTTTGTGGTTGCATATGCCGCTTATAATTTTTATGATAAACTTTTGTGAACTATATAATAGAGAATTGAAAATTCTTTAAAAAGGAAAAGTAAATTCTTGCTCAGAAGTACCAAACGCGGGGGAAGAAAGTTATTATGGTTTGGTCAAGTTCCTTGAAGTTGCAGTGAAGTGTTTCATGTTGTGGCCAAGCGTTCCCTGCTTGTTCTTGAACCGGAGGCTGGAGACGGATTCTTTAACGGAATTCTATCGAGAAAATAGCCCAAAAAGAAAGAACAATTTGTTCCTCATAGTTCTTACATAGCAGTTTTCTTCATGGATTCTATTTGTCTAGGAAAATATAATACAACATAGAGAATAGACAAGTCTTCTGAGACTGAGATTAGTGGAAGTGGGTAGAAAGATGAGTGTCCTTGAAAATGGTTTGTGCAGTGAAGTATCCGGATCACTTAGAAACATAGACTTTTACTTTTTGGATTTGTCTTCCTGTATCTGACTTATTTATCCTGATTTTAGGTGGTAGGAAGGAACTCTTCAAGCTCTGAGCTGACGGAATATTGGCAAAAACAGTCCTTGGGAAATCATGCATGGAACACCAAGCAAGGTAGTCCAGGTTTGTATCAAGCTGAATTGCTAATTTAGCTTCATTATTTTTCTCTTCTTATTCTGTGTTTATATTCACCCATGTCTCAAGGTTTCTTGACAAAGACCCTCTTTTAATTTTGATAATTTATGCTGTATTAATATAATTTCTTACAATTTACTTATTTTCTTTTTGAAGTGGAAAATGACCATTTTGATGTATTGTTCCTAACTGAGAAGAAAGCTTGTTTAACTAGCAACCACGCTACTTTGAGTGGGGTTTAAGTTCTTAGAACTTTTTCATTTAATCAACTGCTACAACTAGCTTCCATGGTCATCAGATTCCCTGCATTCTCTACCATTATCATATGCTTCTTTTGTAATTCTCAAGAACCTCTTAAATGTTGGATACTGAAAGCTTATTGCCTCGACCTTTGCGTTTTCTTAAACAATATAGCTATAAGTAGCGAAGGTGCACGCTATAGCTTACCCAACAAGGACCGCAGTTCAGTTCTTCAGGAAGAAAGAGCAGAACCATGTTATCTAAGTTCATCTATTTACTATGGTGGGCAAGAGGTGTATTCCCAGTCCCCAAGTACCCATGCCTCTGGATCCTACCCTATAGTGAGTCTTGATAAGTTGATCATCAACATAATACATAGACTGCTGTGATATTGATAGTATCAGCATGATTAACTGATAAAAATGATGTGAGAAACTGATTCTGTTCCTTACTTACGATTGAATTAGTTCAAGAAAGATGGGGGAGAAGATGATCCAAATGGAAGCAATTCGAACAGTGCTGCCCGAGGAAATTGGTGGCAAGGTATTTCTATTACAGATGACATTAATAGTAAGTTGGTAGCATATGGAGTGATGTTGTAGAGTTGATCAGTCCCTGAACTTCTGACTTGTGTTTTTGCAGGTTCGCTGTATTATTAGGACATTTCCTTGCCTGGCCGTATGAATTCTTCATCTATTATTCAAGGTATATTCACTTTTATATCCATTTCTCCAAATGGATTGCTCTTTTTATTTTGACATCTTATTTCAATCAGAATGTCTTTTAGCATCGGCTGATGTAAGCAGACCTTATGTACTTTCATTTTGCAGGTATTCATGAGGCTTAGGTTTTTTAAGTATGGAAGAAGTGTAATATAAATAAGTGGCTGATGTGGGCATTGGTTGCAAAAAATGCTGAGCAGCAAGTGCAAAGCTTTTATGTCGGTATGGTCAACTGTTTCTTTGGAGTTTTACCAAGAAGTTCTGAGTTTCCGAAATGTTGAGTTCTTATTACTCACCACTGGACTATGTTTCTATATTGAGTTTAAAAGTTTTTTTTTTTTTTTTCTGTTAAATTAAAGCCTGCGAGTTCTGTTAAATTAAAGCCTGCGATGTCTCGGAGGCTAATGGTACGAGCTTCCTGGTCTTCTATTATGAACATATATGCTTGAAGTGACTCTGGTTTCTTATGCAATGTGTTTTCTCAGTATGATAGGTTTAGGGATTATGGTGTTTTGCTAAGAAATGCTGCCCTTGAAAGACTAATTGCATCTCCATTAGATTAGAAGTTTTCGTAGTTGCTGGTCAAGCAAAACTCACACTTTTTTTTCCTTCAAGAGAGTAGGAGGATACATGGAATTTGAGCAGAGAACAAAAAAAATGTCATAAAGAACCTGCACACTAGCTATCCTTGGCCAATCAGCCAATTTAATGCATATGGAAATTGTCAAAGATACTTACAGGTTCAATACAGATTGGATCTTCAGCCCTGTCTGGCCTTTTCTCCATATGGTGGTTTTTTTGTTAGAACAGCTTGATTCTAACGCCGAAAATCCAGTGACAAGCCTCTAGTTCATCTTCAAGAAAAGTTTTCTACACTAGCTGGTTTTCTGAACTTTCACAATGTTGTAGTCTGATGCCATAATCATCCTTGAGGACTAGAGATATATGAATGATCTGCTAATTAAGTTAGGCCCCGTTTGGTATTGCTTTTTTTGGCCAAAAACCTGCATCACTTTAAAGTTAAGCAGTTTAAGGTGTTTGGTAAAAATAAAATATCTCGATTATTTTTAAAGCAGTGGCCTTTTGACAGCAGCTTTTAAAAGCAGGCTCTGGGTTGCTTTTCAAAGCTGCTTTCAAAAGAAGCAGAGGTGAACTTTTAGTGAATTTTTTTAATTCCCAAAATACCATCATTCATTTTTAAAAATGACACCACCACCACCACCACATCCTTCTCGTCATCATCCTCCGCCACCACCACCACAACCACCACCTCCTCTACCACCTCCACCTCCACCTCCACCTCCACCACCACCACCACTGCAGTCTCCTCCAAAACCTCCACATCCACAACCAACACCACAACCACCACCATGCTGCCACTACCACCACCACCACCACCTCCATAATCGTCATCCCCACTACCACCACCATCACCACTACCACAACCACCAACTCCACCTTCATCACCACCACTACTTCCACTCCATCACTACCATTACCACCATATGATTAGTACATAACACTTACATCATGTTTATTTTAGTCATTATTCGCAGTTACAACAATTTTATATTAAAATTTCCCAAATGGTTTTGACACTGCTTTTTATACTAACATCACTTTAAAAATATTGTTTACCAAACATGGAGCTGCTTTACTTTACAGCTCATTATTTTCAAAATACAGCAGAATCAACTTTTTTAAAAAGTGACAGCAATCCCAAACTGGGCCTTAGTGTCATGGAATCTGATATTGACAATAGTTGTCCCCTCTGTTCTCATCATTGGATATGCAAAGGAAAAGCCTTTCATAAGCAGCAGCCATTTTGGTAGCAGTGAACAATTGCAAACCTCTCTGCCTTGCTGCCTGGCCTTTCTGCTTTAAGTCTCCTCTGCCATCTTTCCAAACTCTATAGAGGGTCGTCTTTAGTGAAGTTATTGTTGGTGAAAATGTATATCCCACTTCTGTGCCAACAACCACAGAACCTGTAATGCTGGCAACCCTTGTTGCCATTACTGGCTTCCCGGAGAGCATTGCTTCTAACGAAGTTTGATCCAATCCCTGAGCGCGTAGAGTCGGGTTCGCAAAAATATCAACTGCGTTATAGAACTCAGCAAGCTGAGCTCGTTCCAGTGGGCCCAAAACAAGTACATTAGTTCCAAGATCTCTGTACCTAGCACCCCAAGGACCATTACCAGCAACCAGAACCACAATACTTTGCCGAAATGCTTCATTTTCCTTGAACATTTGTTTCAAAGCCTCAAACATCAAGGGGTGCCCTTTGTCCTTTACCAACCTTCCAGACATTCCCAAAACCAGCGTCCTGGATTCAGGTACCCCAAATTTTTTCTTGAAGTCATTCCCCTTGGCAATGTCTGGCTTGAAAATATCCTCATCGACGCCATTAAGAATAATGTGAACACGATCATCCGGGAGCATGTAAATCCTCTTGAGTACATCTCCAACATGGTCACTGGTAGCAACATGGTGAGCATAACTGGGGAAAAACCTCACCTCTTCAATAACTTTCATGATTTTTTCAGTCAATGCAGATCCCTGTGGTTCTTCGGGGCTGCGCAAAAGTTCTTGTATGATGTCAGAATGGATAGTCTCATATGCAATCCCATGCCAAGTAACAGCCAGGTTTGTCTGGTTACGCGATAGAGTATGCAAGAGGCCGACACTTTCAGTGTGGATCACATCAAAAGGCCTTCCTGTTGAGTTTTGAGTTTGAAACAGCTTCCAAACCAGAGCTTGGTCCAGATACCCAGCAGCAGTTGGTTTTGAGAGGTGAAAATACAAATTGCTTATTGGGTACCTTGGGAAGGAGGAATTTGAAGAAGAAGTGGTAAAGATGTGAAGCTCATGACCCTTTTTGGCAAGTGCAAGGTGGAGGGTCAAGGCATGCCTTTCAAGCCCTCCTGCTTCAGATCTATGAGGCCATTTCCTGACAAACAGAGCAATTTTAAGAAGCTTCGGAGGCGGTTTTGAGGAAAAAGCAAGCTGATTCCATGCAGAAGGGAATGCAAGGAGGTCATTGATTTGGTTTTGCTTCAGCTCCATTTTTTGGTATAGAGAGTAGCCTGGACCATAGTAATGGCGCCAGTAAATGAATGAGATAAATGACCACACACAGAACACCGAGATGATGCAGCAAACACGGTGAAAGTTCAACACAGTAACTGCATCCTTCGCCATTGAAGAAGTATACTAAAGTAAAATTTGCAACCATACAAAGTGTACAACAACAACAAAAAGAAAGAACAAATCTTTGAGAACTCTTTTCCTCTGTTTCTGATTCAAATGGCATCTGCACATGGCCACCGACAAGACTAAATGTACAAGAGAAGCAGATCCTATACAAATTGGCAATCTCGATAGATTATTTATGAAGAAATACGAACCTTTTCACAGAAGCAACATCCATTGACTTCATAAATTCATTTTGGTCTACCCGACAACCCAAATTTCAAGCCTTAATCAATTCATATATGAACAATTTGTCTCTACAGATAAAAATATAAATTCAATTTCCCTTTTCATGGATTTATACTTTTCTATCGAGTAAAAGCGTGTAGCACAAGAAACACATAGATGACGAGGGCCAGAGGAACCAAAGTCACCAGAGGACCAATTGCAGCCAAAGTGTAGAAATTCCCACAATCCAACCTCCCCAATTTGATCTGAACCAAATCCACCAGAGCCATCATCAAAAACCCACACCCCAAAACCGACCCGAAAGCCGAAACCAACGTCCCGACCCGCAAAGCGACCCGGTTCAAATGACCCATGTTGGTGCCACGGACGTGGTAGCCGTAGCCACCGTCGTGGCCGGCGGCTCGGCTGATCTTGATGGCTTGCTTGAGAGCGAGGGCGACGAGGCTGGAGAAGAGGAAGGAGCTGAAGGAGTACACGTGGAAAGCAATGAGACCCTCGGCTGAGTCGGCCCCAGCGGCGCAAGCCTTGTCGGAGCCGATAAGCATGGAGGCGGGGTCGGTGGTGGGGTACCAATTGAGGCCGACGAAGATCGCGAAGGAGAAGAGTGAATTGACGTTAACGATGCCGTCTAAGGCCATTATGTGTATGCGCGTCGTGGGCGTTAGACGGCGTGAGACGTCGGACATTTCCGTCTTCGCGGTTTTTGCGGCGGCGGCGGCGGCGGTGTAAATGAAAACGGAGAAATCATGTTTTTTGCAATGTTTTCTCCGTTTTTGAAGAAATAATGGGACGTTGGGTTGTTTTGTTTTGTAGCGATATAATGGAAAACGTGGCTTTGAAGCTTGAAATTGGAACCGAGAGTAGCGTGTGTTTTCTCTATTCTGGGGTAACGTATTTTTTCAGACAAGGAACGAAGGAAGGGGATGAAGCAAAGCCAAAGACGCGAGAGTAGTTCGGGAAAAAAAGGTTTGAAAAAAGCAAAAAATTACGCCGTTGCCGGGGATCGAACCCGGGTCACCCGCGTGACAGGCGGGAATACTTACCACTATACTACAACGACTTGTCGATTGTTTATCAACTTCAGTTTAATTTAACAGTACTATTGGAAGAGAGATCAAGACTTTTTATCTACCTTATAATAGATGGCTCTCATTTCTATTAAAAACATGGTGCTAAATAAAATTTTGTCTAGCATTTTTTGTTATAATTGTATCGATTGAACTAGGAGGAATTTACAGTATTTCAGAAGTACATGGCTAATTGTCACTTTGATACATTGCTTTTGTTTTTTTTTTTTTTTTGGTGGGTTACTTTTTTCTGGGTTTTGATACATTGCTTTTCGGTACATCTAATGTAGTATCTTATCCTTTTCGCTGGGGCTAGTTAGGCCCAAGCAATGACATCATTTTCCTAATGTTATACGGCTAACTTTTTATAAGATTTAGGTGTCACGCTTGGAAGATTAAATTGATGAGTTTGAATTAAATGAGATAGAGACCCATCATCATTATCTTGATTCGAAAAAGTAGTTAACTAACGTGACTTTTTTTAAATGTTAAGGATGTCCATACGGTAAGAAAAGTGCTCACATTCTTTTTTGAGTATATTTCAACGATTGGAACCGCCTATACTTGAGATCATCATTCAAGAATGAAGCATTATCCATACAAAAAAAAAAAAAAAACTTTAAAAATTGGTAATTTAAAATGCTCAAAAAAATCGTAATTTGTTGAGCGAAAGGTTTGGCATGAATAATTCTTAAAAAAAGGAACTTTATTATTGATTTCAACGATTGTCCTTATTGCACTTCATCAACAGATAGACATAAATAAACTTATTGAATACATCCTTTGGAATTTTGCATATAAAATTAACATGTAGACGGTGGATGTAGCGGTACCACTACCACACTCAACCGCCCTCATTTCCATCACATTGATCACAAGTCTCAATCTGACTGATCTAAGCTGAAAGAAACACAACACAAGCTATGTTTATTGTACAATATTTCTTAATTAATTAAGCACTGTGATCCTTGACAATGGTGACGGCGCAGGTTGCATTTGCCATAACGTAGCTGGACACACTTCCCAGCAGCACCCTAAATTCAACAAAGCACAAATACTTAGTACTAACCATATCATTGAGTGTTTGAAATTGATGTATTGGATGTAAATATACCTTTGGATGGTACCAAGGCCCCTGCTTCCAAGGACCAAGCAGTCGAGCTTTAGATCTTCGACAGCCCCACAAAGTTTCTCTCTCGCATCACCCCAGTAAAGCTTTGCCACCACCGTCACCTAGAATCAATTCACACAAATTCAGTATACAAAACGTACTAAAAGTTCTCTCGTCAAACAGTCTGATAAGTTATCGTGTCAAATTATCATCAATCAAAATCGCTGATCGATTGACAGTCTGATAACATACATGTTTCTGCCTGTGTGCAGTGTCAAGCAAGTCCAAGACCTCCGGATCGACCTCGACTTCATAGTTCTCCATCACCGCTTTTTGACGGAACTCCGCCAATGGAATCAGAGCTGCATACATACACATTCCAAGCTGAAAAAATCCAAACACATCATCCAGAACATATAATAAAGCTTAGTAAATTAATAAGATGATGTATAAGTACGTGATCCGGTGGTGGACCAAAGAAGGTTGCGGCTCTCATCGCCCTGAGAGGGCTTGACATGGATAGCATACAAGGTGTCACCCTTTTCATGAGCCAGATTATTGATAGCCCATTTCAGAGCAATCTTGCTTCCCCTTGAGAAATCGACGGCCACCCCTATGTTTCTATCTCTTGTCATCTCGATGAATTATAAAAGTAGAAAATAAAAAACAAGTGCTCTGAGCCCTGAGGAATATGATAGAAGAAGCTAGGAGATAGATCTGAGCGTTGAACTTTCGGTGGGGCTTTGAATTTTATTTAAAGTCACGGGTTTTTTTTATTTTTTTATTTATGACATAATGATCTGCTATTCTCTGGTCTAGGACTGGTTGGTGGTGCGGAAATACTCTTACTTACATAATGATGCATTGCTGGCTTCAGAAACATTTTATGCTTTAGACTCAGCTACTTCAGAAACACTTTCCATGACCAGGCAGTTTTAATGGAAATTGGATACAGAGAGTATATAATGGAGATATGAAAGGTGAAGCACATAGAAAATGATGAATGTTGGCATACATATATATATATATATATATATATATATATGTGTGTGTGTGCGCTCGCGCGTGTGATTGATCTCCTCCCTAATGAAAGATTAGAGAGGGACGAGTCCAAAGGTTGAATATTGAGTGAGACATCTCAACAAACAGTCCACTGGCTGAACAAATTATACAATTGATGGAGAGAAGACGTATCCTTCTTGCTCTTTTCTACACTAGCTTGATATATTCTTCCCAAGTTTTCTCTTACAACGCTGCACTCTATAAGTTGCAAACTATTAGAAAAACTCTTTCATATGCGACCGTAACATTGCGGCGTAATGTCAAAGATAAATTACCTTAAACATTTATGGTTATGGTTATTAACAAATGTAAAAAATTCTATAAGAGGTTAAAATATCGATTAGTCTTTGTACGGATACTTGGGTGCTCGGTAATGACAAAAACTTTTAGAATTTGAAATTTTAAAAGTTTCAATCCAATGTATACTCTAACTCTAAATTCTCCAAAAGTAAATTTGTGTTTATTTTTGTAAAATACTATTAGGGTTTTTGTATACATCTTAACTTTAGCATTTACAATATACCAAGTCTAGAAGTAGGGATCATCATTTGGCCCTAAGCCCATTGGTCGAAGTGGGTAGCTCAGGGCATGATGGGTTAAAGTCCGGTCTGGCTTACTCTTGAATTGGATAAGACTTGAGCTTAGGATTTGAAACCATCACCTCACTCACGGCCCCGCCCATCTAGGCCCTTTATTTATAAAAATTAAAAAAATTAATCCTAATTGATGCACTCCTTAACCTTATTAATCAAATTAATATAAAATGTAGGATAACTTAATAAACTTTTTATTTTGTTTACACATGTTATAAATTAAGTTAAAATTTTCAATTTTGTTTAAAAATATGTAACAAAAATTTATAAAAGACATTGAACTACAACCAACATCCAAGTGTACTCCCTAACGTTATGTATACTGAATTGAAATAATATAATATGTAGCATAAATTAATAAACTTGTTTTTTTTGGTTTACACATGTTATGAATTAAGTTAATATTTTTAATGTTGTCTAAAAATTTGAAATAAAAAAAAAATATTTTTTTAAAGTGTCCAGCTCGTCTAAGCTCATGGGTGGCCAGGCCCACCGAACACGGCTAGGTCCGACTTGGGAGCTTCTACAATGAGGAGGTTATTTGAGGAGACCGATCCGACCGTCAAAACATTTAAAATATTTAAGTCCCATGATTTCTTTACATTTGTTGATGGTGAGATTTGACATCCTCAATTAACCTCCTCACTTTAAGCCCTCATTATAGCCTTTCCGGGTCCGACTTAATGTGATGGCTTGAATTTTGGCATTTCAAACTTTAGTCCGGCCCAAAATTTAAAAAACCTATGAAACCCGACATGAGTCCAAAATGTTCAGCCCAGCCCAGCCCGACCTCCGGTCCAATGACGAACCCTACCTAGAAAGCACCATGGTTTGATAGTGACACCAAAAAGTAAAGGGAGAACTTTAGGCCTTGGTCACGAGAGAGCCCGTCTGAGGAACTTATTGGGCTATACATGCAACCTTTGATAGAATGAGAGCTGGACCTAATACATTATATTTGTGCTGCGAATATATGGAGCACTAAATTGCTTTATAGTAGTAGCCCAAGTGGGGCATAACCTGCAGTAATCGTTGACAAAATCACCAAATTTAAAACCAGATTCAGAATCGTATATGCACCAGAAGAAGTGGGCTACTGTCAAAGATCCAGCTACTCCACGTTGATGTGTACTTGACAATATTTATTTTTCCTTATTTATTCTCTACATTGTTGAGAGGCTGTTGTCGGTCGTGTGCATGGCAACCAACAAAAAGTAAACACAGAAAGAAAAACAATGAAAAGAATGTCACGGTGGCCAAATAGTCAACACTGAACCGCATCAACCCTCAACCATATTGGTGGTCATGACACATTGACACGACCTAACCCTAACCATTTGTGACTACATTATCTTTTGAAAACATACCATTAAACAACTGATAATACTTGATGCATAAGCAAATTCGTAAAATTTTACCAAACTTATTTACCAAAAATAGTTCAGCATACATTTTCTTAAAATCATAAGCACAAATAATCTTATTGGGACGAAACATGTGATGCGATTTTATAATCTAATCGTTTATTTTTCAAGTTTTCTTTCAAAGGTCATCTGTGAAAGAAGAAAAAAAAATCATCAAAATCAAATCATAAGACAAAATTGTTTGTTATTCAAACATAATTAGACGATTACAACAAATTTACTTTGTTTAGTCTACTTATTCGATCACAATTAGATAATTACATTTTCGTTTGTAGGGACTTTCATGATTGGATGAAAGAAAATTTACATGATTGATTGAAATAAAATTCTCATGAGCAATTTGACAAGGCACAATACATGAAAAGCTTATCTACGTTTAACGGTGGTTCGGTGGGATGTAGATAGATAGAGGCCACCGCAAATCCATCTAACGATTGGAAGGACGGAGGATCGCACAGCTGGACAAAACGGTCCAACTACCGATGCCCAACCCTTCTGAAACACAACATACCAAACAATAACTACAGCTACTACTATATCATACGTGACACTGGACCCACTTAATTACCTACTGGGTCCCACCCAAGTCCTCTTTAAAACACACACTTTTGACCCCTATTCCAGCTTTCTTAAGCTGCTTCTGATCGTATAAATCACATATTCTCTTATCAAATCAAACCAATCTCAGCTCTCACATATTCTCTTATCAAATCAAACCCATCTCAGCGCTCTCTCTCTCTCTCTCTCTCTCTCTCTCTCTCTCTCCTCTGCTAATTGTTATTAAGAAAGTTAATTACTATGGTGGATTTTGAGTGCTCCTCCTCCAAACCCAACTACAAGGACTGGGATTTTAAAGCAGCTGCCAAAGGGTTCATTGGGTCATCAGATTTTAGCTCTTCTTCTTCATCTTCTGTGCTTGAGGATGAGTTCGTTTCCTCCGAGTCAGCTGAGACCACTGATGAGGAAGACGATTACATTGCTGAGTTGACTCGCCAGATGACTCACTACATGCTTCAAGATGACCATGACAAAGCCAATATTAGCTCTCAGAAAAACCAAGAGGTGCGTATAAAAACAGTTAGCCTGTACTCGAAGTCCTGTGTTTGAATCTCTCTTTTTCAATATCGATCTATAAGACTAATTAATTAACTGAGGTATATATAAACTACAATTATGTTTTACTAATTTTTGTTTTTTCAGTTATTGGGTTCTGTTGGTTGGCCACAGTACTCAACACTGTGGTCACCTTTGGGTTCGAGCTATGGTAGCCCAGAAGGCCCATCTCTGGAACCAACGCCACCAGCTACACCAGTCAAAAACCACGCTTGGAATAGCTGCACATACGCTGACGTTTTGAAGAAGTTGGACAAATTAGATAGAACCAACCAAGGGTTAAATTCTCTAGCTGAGAACTCAGGTGCTGGATCTTGCTCAAAGCAAGGTCTAACTTTTGATCAAAGCCACGATTTTCAGGTAATAAGTTAAATCTAACTTTTAGGTAATATTTGATACTGTTTACAAGTTTAAAGACTTGTAACGGATACTAATTTACAGTACATGATACATTCTCAATATAAATATGTTTATAAGTTTTTAAGTAATAGATCGGTAGCAAATATACGATACATAATATACAGAATATGATGCATTGTCGATATTTTATAGTAAATCTTACTCAAACATTTCCTACTTTGGTCAGAAACTTGAGGCCTATCATAGGCTAAAGCAAGATAAAATTTCAAGCAAACAAGGGTCAAGTAGTAGAGGAAGGCAAGCCAATATTGGTAATCAACAATTTGAGCCTGCTAACTATAAGCACCAGAACAAAGGAGGTTGTGGAAGGCCAAGGTCTCCTACACAATTTGGAGTGCCAGCAGGTTCAAACCCATGGATGAGCCAGCAGGCAAGTCCGGGCATGAGGGCCGTTTTCCTTGGTGGGTCTGGTTCGAAAACCAGGTCGTCTTGTGGGACAGGTGTCTTTTTGCCTTGTGTTACTGGTAACGCGTCACAATCACCCAAGAAAAAAGGTACACATAATTAATCAAAGCTTTAATTTGTTAAAACTTAATTGCGGTTTCTTAGTCGTTGGAGTGGTTGGGTTTGAAGTGGAATATCACCTATCCCATGTTAGAACTTAAGATATTTCATTATGTGTTGCATCTTTTGGTTTGACCCTGGATCTAATGAAGAATTGGGGTTCTTTCATTCTCAAGATTCCTTTTGGCCCCCAATCTCAAATTCTGTAGTGGCCAAAATTGTTGCTCGCTAGTGACTGGTGTGAAATCGAATCTTTCTTTCCTCTCTGGTCCACTTGCTCGGGGTTTGGCCAAAATTGATTCTGTTTTATTTATTTATTTATCCTTTCAAAATTGAGTTCAAAATAATTGACCAACTTCTTTTTAGGTAATTGAGATATTCTCACACAATTTCACATGTTATATTATCAAATCGTCGATGATAGTTTTGTTTAAATATAACCGCATAATACATAAAGATTTGTGAATTACACAAGAATGATCATGATATATGGTAACATTTCGGCTCTTTTATTGTCTACAGGATGTTCCCCTGTTCTTATACCCGCTAAGGTAGTGCAAGCCTTGAAAGTTCACTTCGACCGAGTTGGTGAGCTACCCCTGCCCAACGCTACCGGCTTCTCTATACAAAATGGTACATTTTTCAACATAAACATTTATTATAACTTGTAGAACATATATATAATTTGATTGTCACTCTTGATACGATAAAATTTTGTTAAATGTACGGTTCAGATTGACGAAGTTTGTGCATGAATTTCAGGCCTCTAACTTATTTTTCTTTCTTCTTTCGTTGAAGATGGTTTTAACAAGGGTGGTAGGGCAAGCATGCAATCAACTAAAAAACGTAACTCACGGGGTGTGCCAGAGATGAACCATAATGAGATGGGTCTGCCTCAAGAATGGACATATTGACACGGCTTTGGCACATGCTACGCCTCAATATTCACCACCCATCATCGATGTTGCTAATTAAGCTCTCGTTTTCAACTACAGTCTACAGTGGTGTGTGTTTTGGCATTTTGTTCTTAGAAAAGAAGAAAAGGCTCCAAGAAAAAGAATAAAGAGAAAAATGACAGGCAGATGTCGTCGGTCAATCAGATTAGGGAATCTAAATATAGATAGTTTAGGACAAAACACACAGATTCAAGAATATTATCTTCTTTTTCTTTCTTTCTTTCTTTTTTTCATCTTTTTTCAAATAAACAATAAGTTTCAATTGCCTGAAATGGACGCAACAGGCTGGTCTTTGTTTGGTTAATGCAAAGCACTGCGTACCAATTCTGCTTTCATCATGTAATTAATATTTTTACTTTCATGGGGATTCTTTAGTTCACTAAAGAATTGGTTTTCTTCATAAAGAGTTGAAGCAAATTTTGGCTCCGGTGGAACTTAGGACCTCAAATACAAGGGTAAATGTTCTTAATTACTTGAGTTATAAATTTATTGTCAATGTCAATTCATTAAGTAAAACCCAAACGCAAAAGATTATAATTAAATAACTTATATAGCTATTATCAAGTAAGTCAGTACGCATACGCGTATTATCTTATCAAACTTATATAACTATTATCACATAAGTTGGTATGTGTCGGACGTAATATATTATCAAACTGTGGATCTGAATCACTAATTTAAGTAAAACTTAATTAATGATTGATGGAGATGACCACTATGAAGAAATGACGCGTGGATATTGATAGTGGGCCTTTTAACCTAATCACCCTTTTTAGCCCACGCAATACAAAAAGAGCCACAGTTTGGTGCAGTCACATAGACCATACACGTTTTGGTTTGACAAGTTTGCTGAGGGCAATTGATTGGTACTTTTGCTGCTTTCGTACACGTTGAGTTGCAAAAGTTTTAATACATAATAATGTTCAAAGAAGTTACTCCAAACTATCAACTTGATCATTATATATTAATAAAATATGAGCTTGAGATAACAGCTTTTACATTTTATTATGGAAGATGAAAGGGGAAAAAAATATTTCATACCTAAGATATTCATTGACCTACAATAAAACAACTGTAATTTTAAATAATAACTACTTAATATGAGCAAATGACTCATTATTGTAGTAAGTCGGAGCAATTGTTCATTTAGTCAAGGTCTTGAGTTCGAGTCCTAACATTCATATAGTGTGTATAAATTTAGTATATTATTGCTTATCTCAATAGGAAAAGTCCTATAAAAAAAACAAATACAAAAAACTAGTTAACATGGTATTTCTAAAGCTACAAGACAAATAAAATAAAAGCAAAGTGACAATGTCAAGTGACCTGCTGAATTAAATATCATTCTAGCAAGAGATCATAATGTGAAAATCAAATATTTTTCTAAGATTGTTAAGTTTCAGAGTTCATTATATATATATATATATATATATATTATGAAGCCTATGATTTATATAAAATTGAACCAACTTTTATGGTTTAGCTAACCGCTTTTCATGAGAGGGAAAACATTCCTCGTGAATAAATGAAAGCAAATATATCCATCTTGACGTCTAAAGACTTTTTTTTTCTTTCTATTTTTTTAAATACAAGTGATAGTCTAAATTATAAGAGGAAATAGAGGTTTCTCATACACACACTATCAAGGTATCATGTGGGTTCCAACCTAAGACTACTGGTATACAAGTTATAGTTCTTTTCCATTAAGCTAGACCATTGGCAAAGACTTTTTATTTTAATTTTAATACAAGTAATAGTCTAAATTACCTCTAAATTTATCTAGTCTAGAAAGAGGAATTCAAACTTTGAGTGCAAAGGGACGGGCTCACTACCATGGCAAACTCGGTTAACCCACATCTGCATGCAAAGACATTAAAAGTGAAAATAATAGTACAAAATGATAAACACTAACCAATTTGTTATTACTAAATTTCACAACTACCTTACCATCATTAGTCTGTGAGTCGAGTTGATCAAATAAGAACTCTGATGCTAAGCATGTTATTTGTCTTAAATTGGCAAAGCAAAATGGCATGAAATTACAAATATTAATTCTTAATTAATGATTATTTAAAGTAAGTCTACAACTTAATAATAGGCCGAACGAGAGCTAAATTCTTACCATGAATCTACATGTACAATCACTTTGATGTAAAATAACAAGAAACTTCTAGGTTCACTTTTTCTATATCATATATGTTTGGCTCTCCCAAGGGGCTACCTACTTAGTTACAAATGACAATTAGTTTATAATTAAGACTCATTCCTTTTACCAGAAGATGCATATATTTTATCTTAATGATAGTAATATCCCGTGAGTTAGGTAACTGTAACTATCGTTTGTTGAAGCTGTCAATGCAATGCATTATATGTGGTTTTTACTTTTTACCAAACCACCAGAAAAAGACAAATTGACCGAAAAAGTTGAAAAGGATACAGAAGTTATAGCAGCATGGTGATTTCTCCGCTCCTTTTTATCCTATTTTATCCACTTACACTCCTTTTTTATAACTAAAAATGGAGTGTAAGTGGATAAAATATGAGTGAGGAAATCATTGCCCTAATCTTAATGCTGGTGTGTTGTGCGTGGAGATTTGAGTTTCTCTTTTACGCTTACAAAAGCTATGCATAGCTCACGAGTAGCTAAATGTAAATTCCAGAAAGCTTTGAATAAATAAATAAATAATTGAAAAATAAAAGAAATTGCAACTGAATTCATATTGAGTAACGTTTTGGACCGACACCCTACAACTGGAGATATATCCCCTTTGTCTACAACATTAATCACGTGAAGAGTATTGTAGACACAAAAAAAATATACCGTGACATGATAGATTTTCTCCTAGTAACCACCCTTACACCTGTGCAAATGATCATTTGCACAATAACGGAGCTAGGATTCTTAGTATGGAGGGCCAAAATTTTAAAATCACTTTTATATAAGTTTTTCATCTTCAATTGAGAGGGCCATCACTAATCTAATTACAGTAATTGTATTGCCATATCATATATTTTATAATATATTACAAGAGATAAAAAATTAAATGGAGGGGGCCAGGGCCATGACAGGCCTTGCTGTGGCTCCGCTCTGTTTGCATACACCCAATATGATTTATTTTCATGTCAACTTTTAAAAGAAAACGTCCATTATTAGAAGTGTATGTTAAATATCCAAAATGCAAATCTGAATTTTGTAGAAATCACCATCAACATTCATCTTATTTGATTGGTTTTTTTGTTTTATATAAAATCTTTCAAATAAGACAAAACAATAGCCAAATATCTCCCCCCCACCCCCAAATGCTGATGCCATTGCTACGTAAAAATTTAATTTTTGTAAAGAGACCTTCCGATTAGAGTCACCGATCGGCATTTGATTCAAATTGCTCAAATCACCATCAGAGAATCAAAAAGCATTGCAACTTGCATTTGATAAAAAACTGTGTTTATTTCCATTATGACTTTTAAAATTAAATTCTAATTTTGTCCTTATTCGAATTTTTTTAATTTTTTTAATAAAAGCGATAATTTAAACTACAAGAAAGAGGACACTCTCACCACTACTCTGCTAAACCCCATTGGGATTCGAATTCCTTTTTTATATCTACCTCAAATATCTCATTTTCCATCTCTCTGTCATTTCTCTCCTCATTTGTTTAATTGATTTTAATCATAAGAAACAAAAAATCCCATGCATAAATGATCCCTTTGACGTACGTGCTCATCGGACTGCCAGTGCCAATCATTTTAAAACAACTTGGGGCACTTGTTATACCAAATTAATATATATATATATCAGAGAGTTTTCATTGAGGGATCCCTTAAATAAAGATTTTCGAGATTGGAATATACCTAAAGTACCTGATAAAAATATTTATAGAAAAAAATGGTCTTTGAATGCATTTAATACTACTACACATGTTAAAACTGTAGAACAAGTGTATGCTTTAAGTAAAGAACATGAATCTTGTCAATTACTGAATTTAGATGCCATTAAAAGACATAAGCATGATGGTAATAATTTTCTGCATATTGGTCTTGTACAAGTTGCTGCTAAGCCATTAACTCGATTAGGTTTACAAGCTTCTATTCTGTTATGTTTACGTGATGCTAGATTTACAGTATTTAATGATTCTGTGCTTGGTATGATTGAATC